AAATATTTCGATCTTTATTAGTCATAATATGCCACTCTTGGTCTAAAAAGAAAACTACTTTTTTGATATCAACTCCTATTGCTTCCAGTACCCGTTGCTCTTGCTGGCTTGCGTGGTTGGTGAATATGGGACCAGATGGGGTGGGACTTTCTTTCTTTTACTAACAGTTAGCAAACACAGCCCACTAACAATGAGGGAAAGAGGACAACTGAAGTGACACTGGACAACAAGACAAAGGGGAGTAGGGGCGATGTGCCTTATGTGGTTGGCGAGGCTCATCCGACTGGAGGTCTCGGAATCATAGCCTACGACCAGGCATCGATAGGAATGCAGCTAGGGAGGGAGGGAGATAAAATGATAAAATGAGAAAGAGAGAGAGAGAGAGAGAGAGAGAGAGAGAGCCACAAGAAAGAAGTTAAGATAGAGAGTCAACCAGCGAGAAAGAGATAATGGATGTGGCTGGATGCTCGTCATAGGGCAACACAGACTCATAGGGAGTCCGTTGCATAGAGCCAAATAGTACCATGCAAGTGGCGGTGGACCTTCGTCTTGAAGGATTGCAGGGACTTCAGCTGGGGCATCGGTTCCGGGAACATGTCCTGTGGTAGCCTGTTCCGGGAACATGTCCTGTGGTAGCCTGTTCCGGGAACATGTCCTGTGGTAGCCTGTTCCGGGAACATGTCCTGTGGTAGCCTGTTCCGGGAACATGTCCTGTGGTAGCCTGTTCCGGGAACATGTCCTGTGGTAGCCTGTTCCGGGAACATGTCCTGTGGTAGCCTGTTCCGGGAACATGTCCTGTGGTAGCCTGTTCCGGGAACATGTCCTGTGGTAGCCTGTTCCGGGAACATGTCCTGTGGTAGCCTGTTCCGGGAACATGTCCTGTGGTAGCCTGTTCCGGGAACATGTCCTGTGGTAGCCTGTTCCGGGAACATGTCCTGTGGTAGCCTGTTCCGGGAACATGTCCTGTGGTAGCCTGTTCCGGGAACATGTCCTGTGGTAGCCTGTTCCGGGAACATGTCCTGTGGTAGCCTGTTCCGGGAACATGTCCTGTGGTAGCCTGTTCCGGGAACATGTCCTGTGGTAGCCTGTTCCGGGAACATGTCCTGTGGTAGCCTGTTCCGGGAACATGTCCTGTGGTAGCCTGTTCCGGGAACATGTCCTGTGGTAGCCTGTTCCGTTCATCTACTACTCTGTATGGGAACAGACGGTGGAGAATGTTAGGGAGGGAGGGGGGGGGGGGCACTGTTTGTAGCTGGTGCTGGTGGTGAACACTGAGTTGCGATGTTGTCCGTGGGACGAGGCTAGCTTCCTGGCAAGGCGGCGGCACACGCTTGGAAAGGCTAGCTTCCTGGCAAGGCGGCGGCACACGCTTGGAAAGGCTAGCTTCCTGGCAAGGCGGTGGCACACGCTTGGAAAGGCTAGCTTCCTGGCAAGGCGGTGGCACACGCTTGGAAAGGCTAGCTTCCTGGCAAGGCGGTGGCACACGCTTGGAAAGGCTAGCTTCCTGGCAAGGCGGTGGCACACGCTTGGAAAGGCTAGCTTCCTGGCAAGGCGGTGGCACACGCTTGGAAAGGCTAGCTTCCTGGCAAGGCGGTGGCACACGCTTGGAAAGGCTAGCTTCCTGGCAAGGCGGTGGCACACGCTTGGAAAGGCTAGCTTCCTGGCAAGGCGGTGGCACACGCTTGGAAAGGCTGCATCTGTCTAGTACTGTATGACCTAGTTTTCTTCAAGGAAATAATTTTTTATTGCTATTTCTGATCACTGGAAACTGTTCTTGAAACCTACCTACCAGCCTTGACTTAAGGTTTAGATGAAATGACACGTGCACTGTTAATCCTTTTCATGGTTTTATTTTTCGTAGTTTAATCCTTCGCTATAGTCTCGAAGGAAGCGGTGATTGATATCTGTGTGTGTCTTGGTGTGTGTGTGTGTGTGTGTGTGTGTGTGTGTGTGCGTGCGTGTGTGTGTATATGTATGTATGTGTGTGTACGCGTGCACGATTGCGTGTTTGTTGCTTGTGTATGTGCCCTGCTGTTCTCAGGTACCTTTGAGAATAGTGATGCTTTCTCGCTGGGTCCGGTTGTGGAATGCCTGGCGGACGCTGGCATGGAGCTAACCTTACCCGTACTGGACGATGGCTTTGTGTGATCGGGCATGCTTCCTGGACAGACGCGGCGCAACCGGTCCGCCTGGTCAGGCCGTGACCGGGCCAACTCTTTGGCCACCAGCGGGTGTTTTCTGCTGAAGAAGCGATGTGTGCCCGCGGCCCTATCATACACAAAGGATGAATGGTGATGGTATGGTTGGGCTGATCAACAACTGCTTCCGCCAGTCATGTTCCACTGTGCTTGAAACTCATCACTTACCTACAAGCTGACTGTCATCATCACCGGACGGCGAGGCACTTGCGCCGGACCTGTAGGGGACTCCCCCTCTGCCTGGTGTGTTGCGAAGACTTTTTGAACAGAGTACGTTCTTCTCTGCTCAAACCCTCAGTGCTTCTCATGATGTTCAGGGTCAGCACTGTGTGTTGGAGTGTCGACACACCAAATAACCATAGTTTGATTTGTAGCAACTCTCCTTTGTCTGTCTCCTGTTCTCTTTTCGTTCCCCATTGCTTTTGCCCGTCGTCTTTTACTCTTTTTTGTTGACGTCTGAACTTCGTCAGCTGTCTTATTTTCTATTTGATCGTAATTATAATCACTGTTGAGAGCTTCTACGAATGTCCATTCTGCTACTACAAAGGTTCCTCGGAGTTGTAGAGGTTGAAGCGTCACAGCCATAGCTGCCCGCTCGAGACAGAAGATCAGCCGAGGGGGAAGATCAGCACTTTTCGGCGTTTTAAGTTTTCCCTTTTTCGGCGGATTTTGATGTACGAGGAGACAGATTTTGAGCTTATTTCGCCGTGAAATCACAGCTCTCTTGGGTTTTAAACATCGGTCTACTTTCGAGGTTGTTTACAAACTTGGCCTTTCCAACACTTCTCGCAAGAGGAACACGCACACTCCTGTAATCTCAAGGTTCAAAATGCCAGTCACTGAGTGCCGCGCTCAGTATCCTGTGAGGTGCCACGGGACACTCCGACTGAAGTCGTTATGTCTTGCGGTCATGTCACTCCTATTCTCTGTCTTCTGACGCGCTTCTTCTGTATCTTATTGGATGTACATTGACCATAGCGCTGCAGTATGGCCTCTGGTGGCTACTAGTAACCTGCCTCTGTTGCGTGCACGTGTTGCTGTGATTTTTTTTCAGTAGCATCCGGAGTACAGTCAGACCTCGCTTATCCGGTCCTCTTTTATCCGGATCCCTCGCCATCCGGAAGAAAACCGTTGGTCGCTGATTTACAGCATAATGTCATGCATACATGCAGTATGTGTGTTGGAGTATCCGATACCCTCGCCTATCCGGATACAGTATTTTTAGTGGGAAACGGATGTGTGCGGTTAGGCGAGGTCTGACTCTACTGGTAAGTAAGCTTCCAAGAGTGTGCACTCTGCACATGGCCCTAGGGGGTCTGCGACGACGACAACTCACATTACGTGTCTCAGGTAAGTTTCGTACTTCGAAGTACGATGTACAATGAAGGATGGTGTGCGCACAATCCCCATATCTGCCATAATCATGCCGGTGAGTTGCGTACAAGTTTTCCGTCAGGGAGTGCTTTTTTTTATTGCTCCGTGGCTCGCTAAACTGGCTGGAACTTACAACGACGTTACGTACATCGCGTGATGTGAGTTTTCGCCGTCGGCGAACCCCATAGAAAGGGTGTCAGGAGTTGCACACTCTTGAGGGGTTATCATTTTACTCTTGGCAGCATGGATGAGTGGGTCCCCGACTGGAAGGACCCAGTCTGGCATCACGAACTGGCGGATTTGCCAGCTTGCTTGGAAAGGGCACCCCTTTCCCCGAAGGATGCAAGTCTGGACCCATACCAACAACAGGATCGAAAGAGGATCCGAAAGGCGCCAGTGCTGTCATGACTGCGGGCTGGCTGTGACCATGGTGACGCAACAATGCATGCTCAGCAACAATGCATGCTCTGCAAGTCGACTACATGCACCTGTGCCATGTGTACAGGGAAACCTTGTCAGCTGATAAGACTTACTCTATTTTCGGTCTGATCATATTTGGCCGAAAAGTTGTTGCAGCCGAAAAGTTGTTTTGCAAGGTTCAGTGTGACAATAGAGAGGTTCAGTGTGACAATGAATACAGACAGCAGCAGTACGTACATGGACGGTACACCACGTGTTGCTCCTTTTTTTTTGTTCCTTTCCTCTTTATTAAATTTTTGTATAAGGTTGCGCTGCTAGCATGCTTTGGGTGTAAATAATAAGCTTAACCTTAAACTACTACTAGTTTATGCCGTGTGTTGTAAGCAGTATATTCTTGTATACGACCACACTATAACCGATACGCACTGTAACGTGATGGTAATAATAACGTGGGCCTGCACATTATGGGTTACGTGTGCAATGAGCTCGCTTATATTTGAGCGCTAACGTAATTGGTCGCGCCAAAATGGGGCGTGTAAGTGATGAGACGAGCTGTGGCTGTGGTGACACAGTGTCACATCCATCATTGTCTGGCTCTCAGGTTCTCACGCTTCACACACAGTCTTTCTTCTCTCCCTTTCCCCCATGGTGCGTGATGTGCGCCTTGATCCCGAGACCATTGGTCGGGGGAGCGCACTTCACCTCACCGGCACAGCTCAATAGCACCTACACGCCCTTTGTAGTCCCCTATGTTCTCTTGATGTTCTTGTTATCTTCCATTCTATGTAGGCATGTGCACTTTCATAAAAAATAAAAAATTTAATAAAATAAAAAAACATTAGGTCGTGCTATACTGGGGGGAGGGGGGGGGGGGGGGGGCTAATATGAAGAATGAACACTCATTTTTTCATAATCATAACACATATTTTATGTGTATGTTTATTCTTACAAGCAGTATTATCGCATAGTAGAATATATCGGCCCTAATAATGGATTTTGTGTAGCAAAATATGCCAGATTAGTGCAAAGTGTATCGCCTGTAGTAATAACATCTGTGCTCTGTGCATACTCAATACAATAATATTCAACACAAAAGAGAGTTATGTCCAAGGCCGTATTGGAGAATCACTTTTTCTGTCCAGTCGGACTCTTTCCTCCGACTTCTCTCGCATCCGCTGCTCCGCAGTCGCCTAGTACGACCGCGAGTCTGATTGATCCGTGTGTATCATGTGTACGTGTCCACATGCCAAACGTGCGCGCATATGGTATGTCACACGTGATTTATCGCGTGTGAGAAATATCGGCAATAATTATAAGAATCAAAATAATGTCGTTTTTCAAACACCCACGCTATAACCGATACCTACTGTATTATTACCATCACGTTAGTATTACTGTTGTGAACCCTGCAAGATTCTCTAAATTGTCAGGATCGTACGACCACACGGCACGAGGACAACTCTTTTCCTTTACACAGTATATTTCACTTCATCTGATAATTAACAATGAACACTAATAACACCAGCTATTTATAGCATGCAGAAACAGCGTACATGCAAACATAAGCATATAAAACTGGACATAACAGCGTATACAGCAAAACGCACACAACGCATATAGCGTATGCCATGCAGCAACATCAGCGGTACGGCGGAGTCGAAATACAACATTTCAACGAATACAATGCCATAAGCGCGAAGGCCTTTCCCAATTGAGAACTGGTGGTTTACAACATTCTCCCCACCAAAGGGCTTCTCACCGCCGTACAACAATGCACACAAGTCAAAAACGATCCGGGGCTCTGACTACGCGCCCAGAACGCGTCATCTCCTGCTGCCGTGGTGGTGGTAACGGTGCTGGCGGTTCATACGCTGGCTGCTGAGGGACGATAGCAGGTTGAGCGGTATCGGCAAGCCCAGGAGCCACGTCCTGTGACGATACTTCTAATGGCACTAACCTTTGGATCGGCCTCAACAGGGTACTGGTACTCAACTTAACCTTGGCAACACGACGCTTGCCATCTCGACCAGGGAATAACTCGATGATCCGTCCCAAACGCCAGAACTGTTTGCGCTTGGTATCATCGAGAACAAAGACAACATCACCCACAGCTAAAGGGCGCGACATGGTCTGTTGGTGCTTGTTCAGCTGACTTAGGTACTCCACCTCCCAACGATTCTTGACATGCTTCAGTGTCTGACTGAGGTAACGCAATCTCGCTGACATATGCGTAGCGTCCGGGGTACCTGCTGGCTTCGCTGACGACATCCAAATGTTACCCATCATCATTGCAGGGGTTACTGGTGGCTCATCCAGGCTATCAGACACATAAGTTAACGGACGACTATTCACCACTGCTTCAACCTCATACAAGATGGTCTCAAGCTCCTGAACCTTCAGAAACGCTGTTCCCATTACCTTTTTCAAGGCACTCTTCACTGTACCAACCATTCGCTCATAGAAGCCTCCATGCCATGGTGCAGCTGGAGGATTGAACATCCATGGCACACCCAGTTTGTCAGATGCCGCCTTGAACGTTGTAGCGTTGTCAGACCTGATCCGAGACGGCAAACTACGTCTCGCGACAAACTTCCGAAAAGCCATCAAGAATGACTCGGTACTTAAACTATCGACCACCTCCAAGTGAACTGCTCTGGTGGTGGCACACACAAACAATGCTATCCATACCTTCGGAGATGACTCACCACGGCGCACGTACAACGGACCAGCATAGTCGATGCCGGTAGTTGCGAACGGCCTCTCGTGAACAACTCGGTCTTCCGGCAGCGGCGGGCAGACTTCTGAGGCAGCCTTAGCCTTGTAGCGGCGGCATGTAACACATCGCTGAGTAATGTTGCGTAGCGCCCGTCGACCACCGATAATCCAGAATTTCTGACGGATGAACGACAAGACTCCTTCTACACCTTGGTGCATCCTTTCAACATGCATTTTCTCCAACAGCAACTCGGTCAGATGATGTTTGCCTAACAGGACTGGGTGCTTGGCTCCATACGCCAACTCGCTGTGCTGAAGTCGTCCCCCGGCTCTGAGCACTCCATGCTCATCCAGAAACGGTGCAAGCTGATACACCTTCGACCCAGGCTTCACTGGTTGACCTTGCTTGATCAGCTCAAGATCCTCAGCGAAACATGCGGCTTGAACGATGCGGTACAATACGTTGTCTGCTGCAAAATAGAGTTCAGCACGAGGCTCAGTGTGCTTCCACTGCAACATCCGAGTCACCATGCCCTGTGCCCTCGACCATTTACTGAATCGGAGCCACCATTCCTTATCAGATTCTCGACTACAGGTGGTGGCTGACACTCGTACTTCTACACTGGACTCATCTGTAGCTGCGGTTGAGGATGCGGTGGGCCAGTCATTGGGCTCCGTGATCCAGGTTGGTCCGCCCCTCCAGAACGGACTACGGATCTGCTGTGCACTACTCCCACGCGACGGTAAATCTGCTGGGTTGTGAAGGCCTGGGCAATGGTTCCACACAATGCCGACCTTCTTCGATATCTCTTGGACTTGACTGACGCGGTTAGCCACAAATGTTTTCCATTTGTACGATGGATTACTGATCCAATGAACGGTAGTGAGACTGTCAGTCCAGCCATAGACTTGCGTGACGGTCACACGCAGCTCCTTCACCACAAACTCAGCGTAGCGAGCCGCTAAACATACTGCTTGTAACTCAAGGCGGGCTAACGTGGGCGGAGACAC